GTGAAAAGGCATGCCAGACCAATTATAAAATTATTTTTTTATAAACTTTCTATTCATCAAAAATCCTGAAAAAAACAAACTGTTTTTAACATTGATAAAAAAAATGTTTCTTAAGCATCAAATCAGCATATTAGAATGATTTCTAAAGGATCATATAACACTGAAGACTGGAGTAATGGCTGAGTAACGAAAATTCAGCTTAGCCATCACAGGAAAAACTACATTTAAATTATATTAAAAACAGAAAACAGTCATTTTATATTGTAATAATATTCACAATATTATTGTTTTTACTGCATTTTTGATCAAATTAATGCAGCCCTGGTGAGTAAAAGAGGCTTCTTTCAAAAACATATCAGGGTTAGTGTATATAATGTATATAATCAAACTATTCAAATGACTAAACACAACCATCATTGCACTGGCAAGACATTGCAGTGCAAAACAATAGATTCTTCCCCTATATATTGTTTATAGCTCCAAAGTAAAGAAAAAAATTATCCCTTTCTCATTGAAAATCCATGCAGCATTTCACAAGACATTCCACAAAATATTCATGCCTTTGTGCAAATGAAAATTATAAACTTTTTGCACTCCACTCGTACAACAATGTGTTGCACTGTTAAGACAATAAGCAATTCCTAAGAGCAAAAGCAACTACACAAATGTCATAAATAGCACCTGAAATATCTACCACAACAGAAGAAACACTGGTTAAACATCCGTCTGTCCCGGACTAACCTCTCTGCAGCGGCCAGTCTGTCCTGAGGCAAAGAGAACATGCATCCCATGACTGAGGAAAAGACCCTGTCCTTTAGGATTCGGCATACAGAGCACTTTCGTCTCTAAGAGGTTCGGCTCAAGCCCTCAGACAACCTGAGAAAGTCCTTTGGACTGCATAAAAGATCATTAGGAGGCTCTGTAGAAAACACATCACTCTACAGTGCAGGAAAAGGGGGTGTGAGGCAGGCGAGGGTCTGAAACAGGCTCCCGAGCACGCTCATTCTCTCATTCTCTCTCTCTCTCTCCATCTGGCCAGAGCACAGCGGCTGCAAAGCAACAGGAATATACAACATTTCCCATGGATCTCTGCAGCACAATGCTGTTACTGAACCCCCACCCCATCCTAAATGCACACGCACATAGACATGCAAAAAACTTGAATGCTCCTGCCAACACAAACACAAGGAGTCCATTCCCTCCTTTTCCCAGCCTAATAAAACCCAAAAGAGCACTAAAACAAAAGCGAATCTAAATTCCTGGATTTAATTAAGTTTTTAAAACACTTTGCAATGTGTTTCACTGCAGACTCCACATAAGAAATGCATTTGATTAAAACAACTAAAAAAGAAAGACTAGTGGAGTTGTCAAGACTTTGGCAGGATGGCTTGGACTGGCTGCGATCCTTCAATGTGAGTAATGTGAACCAGGAAGCGGAGAGAATTGGAAGAGGTTATCCTTTCCTGCTCGGTAAACATGTCTTCCTGACACTAGAGTTCTCTACTTATACATAATTTCCTCCTGCATTCTTTTCTGCTCTTTATGTATTGCTGTTATTCCTTTTTTAGAAAACACAATCAATAAATGGTGAAAAGAGATTTATGTCGGAAGGAAAAGCTATGTTTCTGAAAATCTGTTATGTTCACCAAGCCTGCATTTATTTGATCAGAAACACAACAAAACAGTAATATTGTGAATTATTTTTACAATTGTTTTCTCCATCATTCTATTTTTGTCATTTATTCCTGTGATGCAAAGCTGCATTTTCAGCAGCTCAAGTTTTCAGTGTCACACTGTCACACGATCCTTCTGAAATCATTCTAATATGCTGATTTGGTGCTCAAAAACACTTATTATTATTATCATGAATGTTTAGGTGCTTAATATTTTAGTGGAAATCGTGATACATTTATTGCATGACACTTTGATGAATAAAAAGTTCAAAAGAACAGCATTTATTTGAAATGGAAACATTTTGTATAATAATGTATTTACTGTCACTTTTTATTCATTTCATGCATCCTTGCTGAATAAAAGTATTAATTTCTTTAAAAAAAAAAAACATTTTTGAACAGTACCTTGGTGCTAAAGTCATCAGGCCTTTCATTGTTTTCAAGATTGAATATGTCACAAGTTTAATACACAACATTACAATGGACTAACAAGGATTATGAGGAGCATTCAGGAACAATAACATCCTGTGACTCCATCTGAACAAACAGTGCTCATACAATTCTTCTGTTTATTACATAGCTCACTTTAATGTTTGATATCACCAGCTAAGTCACTGACGCGTTTTTTCAGAATTGTGAAAACCGAACAGGAAATTAACTTTTACCAACTTGACATGTATGAAAATATGTGGACAAAGAAGAAGCGGTTGGCACTTAACCACTGTGTATATGAACTGTGTCTCAGCTGCTGCAGACCATAATGCTGAGACAGAATGTAATGCACGCACATTCTCTCAATCCCATGATGTCAACACTTTGCAATGTTGGAGCCCATGACCAACTGAACCACAAAGTGCTTTAGGAACGAGCCATGGTGCAGAAATTATGCTTTGTTCGAACAAGGCCAAAGGCCTATGGGGAGAAAAACTATAAACAGGCCATCCAACAAAAATATTATCGCAAATTTGAGCCCCATAACACAGTTTCTGCCATGGACTGTAAAGCCTTTTGTACCTTTATTATTTGCATTTACACTGGTGGTTGAGGAGAGATCCCCCATATGATTGTAAAGTGCTTTGGGTGTACAGCAATACACAATACAACGCTACATTCATTATATATATATAACATAACGCTATCCTCATTCATTCGTTCATTCACTTTTGTGTGTTTCACAAGACTCTTTCAAGGCTCTGATCAACATTTCAGTTGTGCAGAAAAATTTGTGTGGGTTTAATATTTCCCTCTTGAGGACAAATGAAGGGGGAAGGGGAGTTCAAATGAGGCACTTACACTGCAGGGAATGTCTTCAAATCCAGAACAGGCTCTGGTTTTTTTCGGAAGAAGAACCAGTAGATAAGCAGTCCTGCGATTAGAGAGAACACAAAGATGTCCAGAGAGCCGAGGAGAGTCTCCGGAGGCTGATACTCATCGGAGAGCAGCTGGGATTCACTGTCCTCCATTTTCACATAATTCAGTGAGCAGATATGTCTGTAAAAACAGATTGTTTTCATAACAGTATTAGTCAACAATTGATTGAAGTGACTCTGAAATACACGCACACAGACAATTTATATTTACATATAATTTATTAATCATATTTAAAATGTAAAAACGCATATTTTTAGGATAAATGGTGTAGATAGACAGTATAGATTAAAACTTTTTTTTTTTTTTTTACATTTTAACTTGCAGTTTGTGGCCATGTAGTTGGCGTTGAAAAACAATAGAATTTGTGACTTTTTGTCATGTTGTGCCCTCTTTTGAAGAATCAATGTAATTACATAATGATGACCCGTCACCAGTTACAAAACACCCTTTCTTTTGAAGGACTTTCGTCAATTTCTAATTAATGTAATTGTTCACCATCTCGGTTCCTTAGAAACTTTTATCACTCGATAACAGCTATGGCGTGTTACAAAACAGCCCTCATCTCTTAAAAAGCATAAGTACTGTTGTACTGACGTGTTTTTGAACATTTAACATGGTTTTGCTTAAATACTTTGATGTACATGGTACATGAATATGTTAATATCGCGTAGCAAAGTTACATTGTGTACCATCTCATACTACCACTGTACTATGCTACCATAGCCATAGAATATTTGTAAGGGCAGACATAGGCGTATATACACCAAATGTTCACTTTTTGTTTATGACTTCACAAAATGATTGACAATACACTAACAGGAAAGGATATTATTATAATTCAACAGTTACACGACAAAACACTAAAAAACACATACCTCCGGTTAGCTAGAGCAAGACGCACAGCACGAGCTTACGTCACATTGAAACGCCGGGTTGCCAGTCACAAGCTCAAATATCCCTCCCGTATCTTATCCCCGCTAAGAGCAGGCATAGTTTAACTTTGAACAGATGCTACTTTTTTTTGCTTTATTGTAATGTTTAGAATGCGTTAACGTTCTTCAAATATATATTTTTTTATTCTGACGTATTTGTCCACTGCAGCAACTTCTCCCCACTTGGAACTGACCTGTCTGTGAGCGTAGAGTTATTTGGCAATTATATATGCTATGAGAGTGTAATTCAAATAAGAAAATAAGAGAATTAAAAAACTGTTATGCTCAATTAGGTGAATTCTTTACTGGAAATTTTGGTTTAAAATGCAAGTTTATGAGATATCTTTATAATATTAAAAACCTTGGACCTAACGTTCTGCTGAAATATTTCCAATTCCCATTTCTGTTTGACAGGGCTTCCTCAGTCAATTCTTGAAAATATTGAAAAAGTCGTTCAGTTTTTCCTAGCATTTGGCTGACTGCACATGCCTCTACTCACATGAAGGTGTCATGGTCCTATGATGGTAAAGTCATGTGTTGACATTGTGGAACAATGCCACTGATAGCAAATGATTTCCATAAATGTCTTCTAGCTTCTGTTTGAGTTCTCTGAACAATCATTAACTTGCCCATTCTAATCAACTTGAAATATAGGCCAGAGGTGTTTTACAAATGTGGAAAAAGAAAACATCAACATACTGTTATCATATTCTGATGTCATGACTTTCTTTGGCATATGGTGTGCAAACATCATGACACTTAGTCCTTTAATAAAATAAAATAAAATAAAAAATATTAAATATTAAATATTTTAGGTTTAGGGAAAAGACATTTCATCCCTTATGCTTTGTGACACATTTACAAAAATCATAACTTGGCCAGGTTGAACCACAAACAGAAAAAAAAACATTTGTTGAAAACATTTAAGCAACAAAATATTAACACACTGACATTTAAAAAAAACATTCATATAAAACATAAATTGCTTTAATAAAGAGTTCAGCAGTGCCTTTGTGCCGGTCATTTATAAAGCTTTGGCTTTGTCCTGATCCATGTATTTGTGGTAAACAACACCAAGAGTAGTGAAGAAATTTCCCATGAACAAAACAAGGAAAGTAGAGGCGCACATGAGAACCTACGAAGAAAAAGAAAATATTTCAAATATAAATTATTTCAAGTTCAACATAACC